CCTGGGGTCAAAGTAAAAAGCTGGTTAGAAATGATGAACCGACTAATATACTGTGGTGAAAAAAAACTAAAAGACTCCATGCATTTCTCCTCAATGCTTGTAATGCAACATAGTAGGCAGAGGATCCTTAGGTGTGTAAATACATGTGATAACTAAATGTTATACGCTGCACAATGCAGTCTCCACTCACCTCCACTGGAGATGTTGTACTTGATGCCAAAGTCTCCATTTGGGCCTCCTGGGTTGTGACTGGCTGTGAGGATAATACCCCCCACTGCCTTCACCTTGCGGATCACACAGGAGACTGCTGGAGTGGACATGATGCCATCCTGACCGATAACCAGATGGCCAATCTGCAGAAAGTAATACAAAATACAGGGACACACAGATTATACACACATGTATACACAAACAGGTGAGAACCAGGAAAGCAATGGCTAAATTGTAGGGTTATTGATCTGAGCGTCTCCCTTTTTGTTTCAGTTTTGGGTATGCAAGGGTCTTATTCCTTGTATATCATGCAAGCTATAATAGACATACTTACACAATAAGCTGTTAAGCTTTAATAATGATGTCATTGCAATCACTGTCAAAATCCTTTTAAATGATACCATTATGCCACATTGATTAATTAATCAATCCTCACTCAAATGATCTATGTAGCTACTACTTAACTCTAGGGCAAATAGTAGAAAGGCCAAACTACGGTTACATAATAAGAGAATAAGTATATCTTGTATATGATTATTTAAAAAAAATTGTAAATATCTCAGTCAAGGAATCCCTATTTAAACATACAAAGGCTTGCTTTGTGTAAACATTTGAAACAGAAGTGCTCCTGTCTGTGCACCTTTGGCAATCAGTTTCTCCACTGCCTCATTTTCTAACATCAACCACTTGTGGAGAAATATCAGACCACTTCATGCAACTTCAACCTACTGGCCTCAGTGACAAACATTGCATTTACTAATCCTCTCTTTGCATTAGCTGCACAAGAGAGGGGCCATCTCAAGAGAGAGGGTCACAGATTCAGCCTGAAAAGCAAACACGTCTTGTAAAAATATAACAAGGCATCCTTATGCTTGCAATAATATGTACTACACTTTGGATAAAGGAATAGGACGGTAACAATGCAAACATCTTAAATAAAACCCAAACGTACTCGATGTACTTTATTCCCATCTGTGCTATATAGGTTTGCAGGGCAACGTGACTGTCTGCACGTTTCAAATGACGCCCCCTCTTGGCTAAAATCGTTCCAGTAACATAATCAGAGTGAAGGCAGACAGTGGCATCTCTGCACAGCTCCTTATGAAACAACACAACGTAAGGCCATGCTTCATTTTGAAACAACAATCAAACATGCTGTTGCTCATTCATTTTGCAAGTCATGTTGCAATGCTTTATGCAAAAGCAAAGAGGTGGCCGTCAAGAGTCAGTAACCTTATATAGCATCAAATGTCAAAGGTAATAATAGTTTGATATTTAAGTGGCTTCCTTCATGCACTTTCTACAAAAGGTCAACACGGTCAGACTGGCATCGGAGCCAGTGCAGGAAAACACAGATGGGAGTTGATGACACCTGTTTTTCAAACTAGTGTCCATAGACTGGACCTCATGAGATGAGTATTTTGTCACATTATGGCAAAAAAGAAAAGAAAAAAACATGCAAATCTATGGTAGGTATGCCATCTATGCTGTGTTTATTTTTCAGGCCAAGGAGCTGGGTGATTTGCAAGATAATTCAACATTAGTTAGTTAGTTATTTATTTAGTTCACTGGAGGCCAGCTTATAACCCAACACTTGATCCCATAGCTACATCTTGAATTGTTGTAACGTTCCCTACCTCTGTGACCACATAACTGGAGTAACGTTATCTTACACCGACAATAACGATACATTGTATTATTGTATTGTATTGGTAATGTAGCTAACGCAAGCTAAAATAGCCAACAGCATACCACAGTTCAAGAATTTAGTTGAGTAAATAAAATAGGAGCTGTACTGAAGACTGGTACGGTTGCAACCTGTCAAGTTACTTTGACGTCCACTTGCTAGCTGCCCATAGCTTACATGCTAACTTATTCATTCGGGCTCTGTATGGCAGTAGGTGTTTTAGCTAACTTGGCATGCTAGCGTTGCACACACAGTAGGGGCAGCCAAGGTGAACAAAACTCATTCTCCTACTGACCCCGTTGGCAGCAGAAATCTGAACGATCAACTGAATCGCTTCTTTCATGAAAAACCTCCCATCTCCTCCCACCACCACAGTGGCAGCCTGGCGCTCGGCAGGCTCGATGACAGCGATAATGCTCTGGATGAAGTTTTCCGCATAGTGCTGGTTCTGCTGAAACACCGTCACCCTCTTCCTGAGGCCGCTCGTCCCGGGCTTCTGGTCCGTATACGGCTTGGTCTTCACTGTCGTTACTTTCACCATTGTTGACCCCCAGTTAGCACCTGTGGTCGCCCCGTGTGATCCGCAATATGTCCCGATGAGGAGGTGACTGCAGTGGCGGAGCAGCCACACGTACACACCGGGCAACTCCCCCCTCACAGACCCGCCTTCTCCGTTTAAAGGGCAAGCAGAGGCCATGCAGGATTTTCCAAACAACATGATGGCTGCACTGATAATTGTAGTTTACAGTAGTTTACAGTAGTTTTTAGCATACTTTGGTAATGTTATTAAAATATATAACATTCCTGAAGTATGGTTACCGGGCCTGGGATTATAGAGATATCAAGGTCATGTACCCTCTGTGACACCCCACCACATTATACAGACAATATTAGTTTCTGACATTTTGATATGCATTTTATTTCATCCATTCAGTTAGCTGTTTAACTTTGGTTTCAACAACATTACGTTTCTCAACATTAAGGTTGACATAGTGTTTAAAAAAATAGGGTTAAACATTCTGAAGAGAAATATTGAAACTTTTGCTTATGACATTAGGGACATTATGATTGGCCTAAAAGTGGAAAAAATGCAAACACATTGACCCTAAAAGTCATAGAATCAGTCTGTAAACTCCTTATGTGTAAGTGATGAACTGTAGAATTCCAGTTCTTCAAGGTTTCAAAATTCTAAATGCACACATACTAAAAAGACAGGACAATGTCCTCAATGGTAGCTGTGGCCTTCCTTTCCCAAAAAGATGCCCAAACTTCAAGACTTGTGTAAGCATACAGCATCTCTGCTGATGTGCCCCTGACAATCTACTTCGCTTTGTGATATTGCAATCTTAACCTTAATAAAGAAATGCCAGAGAAAAAAACAGCATTTTCCTGATGAAGGATGAATGCTTGAGTGGACTTTTGTACCTTAGAGTTCCCATGTACAGAAAGGTTGATGACTGAGGCATGTTTTGTAGAACTTTACACTAGCTAAGAAATCTGCAAAAAAGTCAAATGAATAATGAGTCAATACATTTGAAATGATTTAAAGGTACCCATACAATTTTGCAGGGAGAAATATATTATTATACAACACTCTATTTAAGTAAAAGGGTGAATTTCTCAGGACCTATATTGTGAAATAGTTTACTTCAGGTCACTGTTGTTTGCCTGTTGCCTCACTGTGTTTGATCATAAGCAGAACAAAGTTTATCGTCAGACCTGTCATCATGAACGGAGGGTGTGTGGAGGTTTTTCTTCAACCAGGATATGTAGCTGTTAAACAGTATATTAATCTCTGAATACCATTAAGAGAACAATATATAAGTACATACCTGGCGCAGAAAACTAAAGATCAGTTCTATTAATCTATAGCAATAGTAAATCAACATATTATTGCCATGTGATGGAACGCCTTTCCAAGTTTTTTTTCCACCATTTATTTATTCACAAAAGCTCTAATACAAAAACACTTCATAAGAAAGTTAAATCATACATAAAACATTTCTTTAAACAGACATGACATATTGGTTAAAACCCCCTAACCCCAACTGCCCTGAGCAGTCGAGTGTTACTAAACCTCTGTGTTGGGAAAGGCAGAGCACACAGGGCTTCAAACATTAAATACTTCTCCTATGTCATGTGACATTTAGTTAGCCGGCTCTACTGTTTCAGAAGAGAAAGTCAAAGGGCAAATAATGGACTTCGAGATATAAATAGGTCAAGACTGCACTCAACTGGAAAGAGCAAATAAAGTTTAGACCTGAGCGCAATGCAAAGGAATGCATTTCATTGCCAGCCCCAAATCCTCAGAGACCCATACTGTATTAACAGTTTGGAGAGTAGTAATAACCAAACGCTACACAGTAATATGCAGGTTGAAACAGACTGTTAAGTAAAGGAAAAAAAGCACGATTGATCATTTCAAAATAAAATAAAAATGATGTATGCATTGATCTCCTAAATAAAAGGTCAAAAGATGTCTTTGACCATTTAACTGCTTTTTCAACAGCCGTTAAATAGTTAGAGTTTAATGTGCAATAAAATCTTAGGGCAAAGTTTAGTCTCTCTCGTCAGACATAAAATACCATTGAAACAAATATATTATGTTATTATGTGTCGCTGCCCCCACCCTCTGGAACTCCCTCCCTGCTGAAATCCGTAACGCCCCTTCTCTGAACATCTTCATATCAACCCTGAAAACTCATCTGTTCAACAAAGCCTTCCAAAATTAACTCACTCTCCCCCCCCCCCCTGCAATGTAACACTTCCATTTCTGCCACCTGTGTTATGTCTTGTCCTTATATGTTTCTTTGTTAAGCGACCTTGGGTTGATGAAAGGCGCTATATAAATGTAAGTTATTCATATTCATATTATTATTATTATTATGTCATCAAATGTCTAAAAATTGGATTCTCGGCCATCCTTGTAGAATAGCATATCAAGTAGATGTTCAATCCACCATTGTTTCTTTTTATCCAAAAAATCTTGCATTGTTTTGAGGAGAGCTGAGAGAGATCTAAGTCTCCTGTCTGATCACAGGGATCTAAGTATCAGGGAAACATAATCCAGGGTTGCATTAAAAGTAAAACAAACAGATATCAGTAAAGGAAAATCCATGATAGGAATATTTTAATGACAGTAATTATATATACATGAGGAAAATAATAAATGTACAAAGTCAATCTTTTAAAACACAAGAAAATAAAATCGTAGAAAGTTTGTTTTTGTCTCTACGATTACATGACTTTAACATTCAAAAACTGTTAAAATCATCTCCAATTTAATTGTGGTTGAATTCACTATGACAATCACCGTTATTTAAAGGATACATTATGAATAAAAGAGTTGTGTTATAATGGTAAATGACATTTCTCTCTTCATTAACAGAAACATGTTCACATTCAAAGGCACAACAATAGCTGCAAAACCCTTACCATACTTTATGAAATACAGAGACTACCTCTTGCTGCCATTAGGACCATGAATTTATCAAGTCACTGAGCTTCTAAAACAACTCTTTTGCCACAAGCCAGATGTTCTTAGCTTGTGGTGTCTAACAATTAAGGCTTTACAAAACACAAAGCTATTAGAGTAGAGTAGATGATTGTTGATGATACAGCTTTACGTGCCGGGGAGCATGCTCTCTACACAGTTGTAGGTCCATTCCTGTCTCTCATTAATGGGCAGGATATGTTGGCACACCTAAAAGACAGGAAATATCTTTGTATTAGTATCCAAAACACCATTATGTTCATTCCTTTACATTGGATTATATAAAAAATAATAAATTATTTGTATATCTAGAATAAACTATCTAGAAAAAACAAGACACATATGCCTCTAATTTTCTCCAGTGTTCCTTTTATGGAACAATTGTAAAGTAATGAATTATTTGTTATATTAACCACAACAAAAATATCAGGAAGAGTTTGTACCAGCTTAGTCCTGGCTGGCACCTCGACAGCAAACACACTCATGCCTCTGCTGCTGCAGCAGTTCCTGCTCTGCTCATTGTTTACATGGACAGTCACTTTTTGGTTGGCCTGCAACACAAGGAGAAACAAAGAGGACAGGTCACTTCACTGATCAGCTTGAAATCACAGAATATGCCGAATTGGGCAGATAGACACAATTCAAATAGTGTTGAAAAACATAATTAAGAATCAATAGTAAAAATGTGGTTTTGCATAAAAGGGGATCTATGTGCATGATCATGAGTGACACACATTTTAATGAAAAAATAATTGTATTCCAATCATGAAAATCCATGTATGAAACTTTTCTTGTGTTTACACAACTGCAGATAATGGGGGTAATGGATATGTTTGGATACAGTAATGCTCCCCACTCATAAACCCTAAAAAGCTACTAGTCTCACAGTTGATGATTTGTAAGGGAATGGGTAAACATAAAACAAAACAATGGACAAATCGACACATACATGAAGGGGAAAAACTGCATATAAATGTAACCATTTCCCCCAGTTTAGTGGTTCCTCTGTATCACCAGGTCATTCTTTCTGAGTAGCTCCTGTTGCTATGAGAATCAATACGATGGCTGCATATCAATTACAAACAGCCTGAATGGTCTTCGCAGCCATTCACTGTAGACAAAATGTATGCAAACCCCTTCTTTTGATGGAAAGCACATACATACAATACATATTCACACACATTTTGTGGTCTACCTTGTTGGCTATTTGGGAGGAGATCCTGTGTTCTCCTCTGTAAGTGTAGATGAAGACGTTGTCTTGTCCCCTCAGTGCTTTGGCCCCTGTTTTTGCTGTGATGGACTTCTGGAGGGCCTGGATTAGAAGCTTGGGGCCCGAGTCCAAACTGAGGGGCTGGATCGCCGGCTGAGTGCCTTCACAGTGAACATCCAACTGGAATGGGCATGCCTGATAGAGTGGGAGGTAGAAGAGTGGATTCAATATGTGAGTAGATATAAGTGAGATATTAAAAGCCTGGCCGTGTTTCTCCATATAGTAAAGCTGCCACTTAAAACAATGTATTTAGTGAAAACTAGCTTTACTGATCAGTCAGTTAAACTAAACGATTCATTTTCCTACAGAAAAATAAAGTTTACTAATTTAATTCAAGTTCATTTTCTTTCGACAAACTGTAAGTCATTGTATAATGCAGCACAAAACAAAATGTAAACAAAGGACTACAATCAAAATTGATAAATGTAATGATTAAACTAGCAACTCCAACCTTATAAAAAGAGGGCTTGATTTTAAAGTCAGTAGTGCAAATGTCTTTTAAAGCCTTGGAATGAAATAATAATAATAATAATAATAATAATACATTACATTTATATAGCGCTTTTCCTGGTGCTCAAAGCGCTTAAAAAGGTATATTATCTGTATATTAAACAAATTGCAACATGTTTATAATGTAAAGGACAATAATAATCTAAAAATACAACTTAAAGTGGACCTATCATGCTATATTTGAATAATATAGTGTAGGACCATACCTATATAAGGCATATTTATACTTTTTTTTTTTCAAAATACCAAACAGATCATGCATTTTAGCCATGCCTCATTTTGCTCAATTTGACAATTTCTAGCTGATTCTGTGAGAACAGCACCATCTACTGGCCTGGCATATGTACTACATCGTCTCCAGCGCTTTCGAACGGCAATGGCCGTGGCTGTCTCCTCCTGATTGGTGGAGTTGGCCCAATAGCCGTAGCGCCACCGTCCTGACGTCAGGACAGTGTTCAAATCTGGATCAGTTTTTATCAGATCCGTTGCAGCCCCTTTTTTAGAGATTTGGGTATGGAGGAAAATAGAGAGGGTTGTGTTTTCTGACACTTGGTGAGTTCCCTGGAACACCGGGGACACATATTCATGTATAAAAGACGTACAAAAGTGCATTTTGCATGATAGGTCCCCTTTAAATATTAAAATAAAAAATCTTGAATGCATATTACAACCACTGCCTTTGCTAGTATCAAGCGTCTGAAGCTTTGGTCATGGAAATCAGTTCAGCAGCTAGTTGTGTAGAATGGCTCATTGATATTGACATTTATTTTCTCAACAACTTTCAAATGTAAGACCTGAATTAGAGCATATTAGAACATTATCAAGTCATTTCATATTAAAACCGATTGAAACCTGTGATTGTTTTTAGCGAGAGCAGCTATTTAAACTTACCTCTACTAGCTCCAGCATTCGGTTGTAGCCCATGGCCTCCAGAGTGACCCACAGGTCTGCGGGGTCTCCATCTTTCTCTGTGGCCTCCATCAGGTTCAGCTCCATAAAACCCTGCCGTGTCAGCTGGTTCTTCCTCATATCGAAGTTCTCTGCAAGCCCCAACAGAGATAATGAGAGCCCAAGTGCAAAATAATCGTTTTAACGTTAATTTTACGTTACCCTGGCCATACTGTGTATCAGTGCCATGCTGAGAATAATTACCTTTACAGACAGCCCAGGAATCCTTGTCACATTTCTCTCCACTGGTCCTCAACTCAAAGAAATTGTACTCCTCCAAACTAAGCAAACCATTTCCATCCAGGTCTATCACCTCAAAGATGTCCGACAGCACCTCCCTGTGGCACAAAGGGAGAAACACAGAAAAATGTCTTACATCACCCAGACAGACGACATTATTCACCTGTCCATTTTCTCAAATAATGTATCTATCCATTGATTCATCCATTTATTTATCCTTTGCACCACTCTGAACCGTTTCTACAGGCCTGGATACACATGGGTGCTTTAAGTCACAGACTAAACTTCGTCTTTCTATGCTGAAGATCATTTTCAGGTATCTACATTTTTGGTGATTTTGGAATCAAACTTTGCAGTGTTTTTATATTGATATTTTAGATTGCGCAAACACTCACCTGAGCTCCCTGGTGAGGTCTAGTTCTCCAGTGTCAGTCCTGTAGACGAGCTCTATAGGTTTAATAGAAAGGCTTTTCTTACTTCTTTTCTTTAGTCTGCAGCCACTAGTGAAGGGAAGCAGGTAGTATGTCCCAGCATCCAATTCTCCTTTCCAAACATACTTCTGTGGGAACAAAGGAGTAGCAAAGTTAGACACACTAAGGATATTGTGTACAGTAGAACAATCAAGTTTCAACACACAAACTCAGAATGAAGCGTCATTATGAATATAAGTAAATGTTTAGTCCATGTACACACACACAAACATACCTCTTTCTCTTTCGTCTCGGTGAAACACACTAAAGTTGAGTCCTCTTTGGTTTCACCAGCTGACGTGACGAAAAGAGCTGTGTCCACTGTCATCCATGAAGAAGGCAAGTCTGAAAAATAACACAAGATGTAAAGGCTTTGACTAGATTATAAAAAAAAACAACGTTTTGCCTACTAAGTGGACTGAAGAAAACATAACTCAATAAATCAATAAACAACTATATACAAACCTTTTTATATAATCTATAGGACTAACAAAGAGGCCACTTGTATGCAGGCTTAAGTATTCCTTTCTGATTGAAACATTTAAGATATCTTTAATAACAATACAGTATTAACTTTTTAACTATTTAATGATTTGTTCTTGTTTAAGTGTGATAGAAAACAGTGGCAGTACCGAGTCCATGGCTGAGGCTGAGTGGTTGGATGGTTAGGTAGACGGTGGTTGTCTGGGGAAGGTGGAGCTGGTACTGCAGAGAGCTGATACTCCCATCATCCTCAAGGAAGAAACAGCCCTTCATGTAACTGTGATGCCAGTCCTGGAAACATTTATCACATTTCTGCTTAACAACAGCCCAAGTGAATCCAAACAAACAAATATATTCTAGCAAGTAAAGTAGGAAAATAATGATTTCCCAGACCCAGTTTTTTTAAGCCCTTTGAAGTATTACAGACACAGTATATCATGTTATGCGTAGCCTAATATATTCTTGTTTAGTGTGGTCTCTGATTAGATCTTGACACAACCCCAACAAACTGTTTTGCTGCTTGACAACCAAATGCATCTATTCATTGAACGGAAACCAAAACTAATTTGCAGTTCCTATTAAAAGAGGGATTGATCTTGTGACAGGGGAAGTATATTTTGGCATGAAAAAGCAAATTAAGCAGTCAATCATTACAGTGAGGCTGCTCAATGATTAACAGAAACTGCCATTGTAATAATTACCACTCCAACCTTCAGGGGGCATATTCATTATAACACAGTTCACGTCACAACACTTGTTATACTCCTGCTGATCCAGAGGAGGGCAGGAGTGTCACACTGTGCTTCTGCTGGAGAATGAAGTAAATCTCCCTGTCGGACCTGATATGGCAAATTAGAGTCCATTTAACTTTTATAAATACAGCCTTTTCAATCTTTGGCCCACGGTCATTCCAAACCATCAAGAGGCTACTTTGGCAATATTTATGAACCCTAACATTCCTCTCATTTTGAAATCTTGTTGTTCCTTTCTCTGGCAGCACAACTGAAATGAGGTAATAAATTGAAATTGAACAGGAACATCAAAACAAGGAAGTTTTCCTTCCACTCATTGGAGACACATTAAATGAAAACACAGTTGGTGTGGACACACAGTAAGAGGGCACTGAGGGCCGAATGGGTCTGGAACAGGCTGTATTTCCTTTTAGTGGACACATAAATCACCAAGTTAAACAAAGAAAGTACAATAAAGACGGAGCATGTCACTCCCTTAAAGAAAAGCCATTTCCTCAAAGTATTTATCTTGGGCTGAGGCATAAAAGATCAAACCATAACACTTCAGTGGTTTGTCCAGACAATATTAAATGAGGGAAATTGCCATGGGCACCCATCAACTGCTTAAAGACATCAGAATTAATGCCCCCATAGAGAGAGGGTCAGCCTGCAGACTAATACAGCCGCTGTCACCAGCTCCAGCCACAGCTTTGATTTACTGCGACGCAGAGGGTCACCAAACCAGACACAAAAACACTCTCACACACACACACACACACACACTCTCACATTTAAACCATGACTTTCACCTTTTGTATATATCTAACCTATTTGTGAAAACAAATCCTTGGAATTAAGAATATTCCTCTCTGGTTATTTGTGTAATCATGATGACAGATTTGCATCCCACAAGTCACACATACACAACCACAAAAAAAAAAATCACAAAAATCACTGCCTACCCTCCACTAACCACCCCCCCCCCCCCAATTATCAGCCTGTGGCAATATAGCAGCCAATAAAGCAGAAGTTCCCTCAGAGGTAATCTCTGGACACACGTTCTTTTTCCTCCGTGATGTCTGGCCCTTTCCAATCTCAACACAGTGCCTGGACCTGAGAGATGGAGCAGGAGGCTGTTATTTTTATTTAATTATTTTTCTTGCTGTAAAGCAAACCAGCCGAGGTTAAGCCAAAAAGAGTGAAAACAAAGAGCGTGGGATCAATACAGTGTATATCTTTCCACCCTGGGCTAAATGTGCCCATCACAAACACTTGGTAACATGGTCCCTGCTATCATAGAGCCTCTCACTGGACTCAACATACTAACATGTTCATGTTTATATAGTGATGCCACAATCTAGTTAATCTTACACAACATGTCACATGTCATCCAACACCATTGATAAAAACCGAGTAATATTTGGTCTTTCGTGGCTGGAAAAATACGAGTTTCGAAATATAGAAAGGCTGGAGGGCTTAACCAAAACTCAAAACCGCTATCTTCTGCTACATTTAAAAAAAATGTATAGTCAATTAATCTTACATTTAATTGACGGATGGATTTAAAATGAAGATATAATTTGGTTGTAGATTGGACTGTAGCATGAATACAAGACATACTTATAACTATGAAGGGGGGGGGGGGTTACCTGTAAGCCTGAAGGCTCTGGTATTTTGCTGGCCTTATTTGTGCTGGATGTCATAGTGATGGAGTTTGACAAGGACGACCGTCTGCTGCGAGCGGAAGAAGCACGGGAGGATGATCGGCTGTCTGAGACACACACAAACATAAACACTGACATGCTGACACAAAAACAGATGCAAAAAAAAGACCCTAAATAATGCTAAATAAATCAAAATGATGCAACAGAACAGACTGACTGGCAGATAAATACAGCCCTCCTCTCTGCAAACAGTAAACACATGTTTAAAAGAGAGATGAGGTGCGTAAGATAATGGACACTGTAATCTGTCTTCTCATAAAGTCTGTCCCAAGTTCAAGTAAAGATGGCTACTTTGCATTTAGTTTGTGAAAAAGTGTGATCTCAAGTGCAAATCCCTTTTAATTAATTATGGAGACCTTTTAAATCACAAATGGCATAACAGCAACGCCTCATATCCATTATCTCGCACAACTTTTCCCCTTAAACTCTAATTGAAGCCAGAAAATATCAATTCTCTAATGAGGGGTCTGATTGTTTCCAAGCCGAAGTAATGTGATTGGTTTAGAAGCAAATTATCGCAGCAGAGAAATAAATAGACCCACTGTCATGGTATTTGTGATGGATCTATTTTGTATTGATGGCAGTATTTTAATCTAGAGGAGCGAAGTGTAGCTGTTGTGTGAATGTGGACAAAGATGCAAAGAAACATGGGCCAACAAAAGCTTCAATGTGAGTTTATACTGAATGTGAGTATATTGTTTTAGCCCTAGTGGTTACTGGCACTGAAAAACTGCAAATATTGAACTTGATATTGAAAGCAGACCAATTATCGGAGGACCACCACGGCAATTCATCAATTGTTCTGTCTGTTTTCCAAAACCTGTTTGATACCTTACACCTGATGTGGTTATACCTGCTAATTAATCTGTATCTAATCAATTATTTGCATAACAAATAGCCAACAAAAACCCATCTTCCATATATTTATAACACAATTCTCAATGTTTTATGGGTTTATACTGACAAATGTTGGTGCAAATGAACAGTCAAAACTGTTTTTGAGCTCCAAGAATAACCCATTCAACATGTGCGATCACGTCGCAGCTGGTGTTAGGGCCTTGTTAAAATGTAGCGGGTATAGATCAATACATGGGAGAGGCACAATAATGTGATAATCCCGACAACTATGTGGGAGCTCATTTGTTTTTGCAGCGGTGGTAGACTGGGCCCTCCTCTCGACCACCGTCTAATCCCTCATCATCTCCCCAGTGAGAAGTGGTGGAATCCTCCGAATCAATAACATGAACATGGACTGACCACTTAAATCAACCCCATCTATCTTCCCACTGTGGGCCTGTCCCTGGCTCGCTCATCCAGAATCTCTGTTCCTCCCTTTGCCCTGGAAAACTGGCAATAAGGCCAGATTTCTACATACACCTTCAACTGGCTGATTGGGCTGTCTTTAAAAAAAACTCTGTTGGTTTATCATCAACAGTTGTGGAATAGAGAAGCTGAATTGATGCAAGTCCTTGTTAGTTTAAGCAATTTTGTTTTTGGGACAATAGTTCTAACTCCAAAACCATAGTTGAAAGGCAGCATTATTCATCAGCATATGGAGCTTTTGTCAATCTCCTAATGGCAGAAGTGATTACCCAAATAACAACGCTTTACAGTCTCCTCCTTCCAAACAAGCGGCCCTAATTGTGTGGCTATTATGATGTATGGACTGTCTTAATGAGGTGATTTGTCACAGGGGAGTGAAAAATGGATCAATAACAGAGAGCTATTATTTATTCATCAAATCTAATCGGTGAGGCGTATTGGGGCAAGCAGTGTGTATGGGTGCGCAACTATGAATTGGGATCTGAAGTATACATGATGTGCTTTAGCCATTGGCTGCTACATTGGACCTGTAGATTGTGTCGCACAAATCGCCATTATGTTATGGAGTCATACACCATTAAGATATTCCATGAGTCTGCTGGATATACTTTGATCAATACCTGGACACTGAGAAGAGTAGTGTCTGGTGATGAAAACAGATTTTGTGAAAACAGAACTATTATTATTAATATTAATCTTTGCTTTATATGTGTTGTTCTTTTTGTAGCCATGTCCCTTTACTTTTTTGTCATTTAATTCAGTTGGGAAATCCAGATTAGGGATGTTGATATTTAAATCAGGAAGGGAATTCTATGAGATACAGTCAGAAGTTAAATATAAAGATATTAGATTTCAATATGTCAAGAACTTAGATATACATTTAAAGTGTTTTGGGCGGGAAGAAGAGCACTTTTAAAGTAAAAAGGAATTGCTTCATGTATTTAACGTAAAAAAAAACACCATACCAAACTATTCAAACATGTCTGTCACAATTCAGTGGTGGTTAATTTTACGTTACATTATTCTGGGAAGCACCAGTACCTTTCTTAAGTGTGGTGTCTGATTCTGCCCGGGGTGTTTCTGGAGGCTGAGGGAGAGTTGCTGCTGCTGATGACACTGAGCTCTTTGGAGGGCTGTATGACTGACTGCCAAAGTTTTGTCTCTTCAGCTTGGCATTAGCCTCGAGCCTCTCCAAAGCAGCCATCTGACACTGCTCTACAGTAGACACAAGCAATCTGCAGAACTGACAGAAAGAGGAAACCAGAAGTGAGGGGATGATACATGAGGACATTCTAAAGTAAGATGCAGGGTCAGAGATACTGTATATCTTAGATGGAGGTAAAAATATGACACTAAATAGAGACAATATTGGATCAAATCCTATACTGCTTCAGTGTTGACCCTAGGATGGAGTCATAGCAGCGGTGCTAAGGCACAGCAAAATGTGAGTGCAGAGCTGCACCGCCGCTATTTGTATATAGGGGAAACACTGTGCTTTTTTTCCTTATACTACTGAATTGGACAATTGTGTTACACAGCAGTGGTAACAGCATTATAATCAACGTTATAGTTCAGACTTACTTCTGCATAGTCCAGTTTGCCGTCTTTGTTTATGTCAGCCATTGAGAAAATAGCATTCACCTCTTCAGTGGTCATTTTCTCACCTCTCTGGAAGATTCAACACATTTTCTTTAGTAGTAACAACATTTTCTTTTTCATTTTAGCGTGAGTCAATTATAGATTTTAAGCCGTTTATGGTAAGGCAGTCTTCATAAAAAATAAAACATTATTGGGTCAATTGTTGCTGAGCTAGCTCAGTTGGCTGATTATATATTATTCAATTCAATCAGTAGTTCAAATATTTTAGTGTACTCACAGTGGTAAGGGCTTTCTCCAGTTCACTGTGTGAGATGTAGCCATCACTGTTAACATCCATCTTTTTAAAGGCTCTCATTAGCTCCGTTTCTTCAGTTTTCTTCTCACTTTTAAGAATCTCAAAGAATTCATCAAAGTTCAGTTTGGAGGTTCTCGGGGTCCAGTATTTATTGAGAGTTGCGTGTGTTGGGTTTCTACCAGCCTGCTGAAGAGCTGAAAAGGATAAATTGGAAATAATATTGAAACAACAACTTAAGTATCAAAGGCTGAGGACAACCAACAATAGTACAAAGACTGTTTATGTTTTTACAGCTTTCTGACATTCCTTTTAAATGATATGTATGCAATTCAAAACATATAAAATCCCTCACAATTAGTTTCTTTAGTGCACAATGTAACAACCGTGCCAACTTTGGATAAAAGCGTCTAAAAAGTAACATGTAATGTAATGTTACTACAAAATTACACTTTTACTGTTTGTGTCTCCTGAATGATACACCAACAGGTCACTTGGGTTTAAGAGTTACAAGAGTAATCAACCCTAAAACTACTATCTCTTTCAGCTGGAAATTGGAGCAACAATACTTGATTTCATCTACTGATACCTTTTTCAGAGGTGTTTTTCTAGCTAACGTTATGCTAAGTAAGTAGTATAGTTAATATTATAAAGTTAGCTTACCACGACATAACTGCTGTTTTGAAGAGATATTTGTCAAACTTGATCTAAATACAGCTAGATATGCGGCTCTGCAATGCACGTAGAAAGCCTCCTCTTCATCAGAAGGAACAGGCGTCTCCTGGAAAGACATCTTTGGGAGAAGAGATGTCACTTTTAGCTAGCTAATTTAGCACTCTGCAGCTTGAAAACCGTAAGATAGCGAGAGATTGCAGCTAACTGCAATGCTATTAGCTTTACATTTTCATCACACCGTAAAACTCAACTGATTCCATGCAAGATATTGCGTTGAGCATTGACATTTGCCAAACACCGTTGCTATGCTATCCTGCTGTATGTTGCTAGGTAAACAGTAACTCATCGGAGTTCACCTGAAACGACTCGGAAGAAACACAAATTATTTTTCACGTTCCTGCTAAAAACGAATTTCATTCTATATTAGACCATTTAATATGATACAGATACACATAATGTTTGAAATATAAAATACGGATTTATATTACATTTAGAGTGTTTATTGGGTTGTTTGAATCGTTTTTGCAATAAAGAGACGCGCGGAACTATATATAGGACAGTCTATGGTTTACCCGAGCTGTTTGAGTGTAACAATAGAACCAGACGCATACATTTGAAACTACAGTTTAAATACCGTGAGTATCTTTTACTGTATTCTTTTTTATATGTTGCATGATAATTAACTTTCTACATGACACAAACAACAGAGTTCTCCCTGACAAACACTTACAGCACAGACTGTTGACATAAGCTTCATAGTTAGTTTGTGTCTGACTTCTGTAGTACTCTACTCCTCGACTGAGGACTGGGGGCCTTTAATTCCAAGGGTTTGCTGTGACCCCATACATATGTTTTACATGTTTTTCTTGGCTTCAATTTCCCCCCCAAAATAACAATTTATTTCTGGTATTGAAGTGGGAATTTCACTGAAAGTTTACCTGTTTCTTATTCATTATCATGATAATATGTAAATGACACAAAATAGGCCTAGTGAAAGGACATTTTGCTGCATGATATTGATTATGTTTTACTGCTGAAGTTTAACACAACTTTCCTGTATTGTACCTTTATGTTATATTATAGGCATGACCTACAGATGAAACATAACTGTTGTATCCATGCTTGGTCATAGTGCTCAGTCTATTTACATTAGTTGGCTTATTGGTTGGATTAAGAATGTCCTATATGAAAAGGGCAACTTTAAGGTTAAATGCCTCTTTCACAGAAGACATTTTGAGTTGTCACAGTAGAAACAGCACAGGTGAAAATGAAATAGTGGCCAAATTCTATTTAGCTTCTTTGGTTTCAGGCTCCAGGTATTGTACATGCTGGCTGGCTGGAACAGTTGAATAGAACAGAGCTCTCGTTAGTGTTATTAGTGACACCTGTGCTTTTCCTTAAGTCAAGAATTCTGCTGTGAGAAAAGCCTTACTGCAGGTAGAATCATACTTAATTGTTTGTTCAGTAGGCAGTATGCAGTACATACTGATTGAGTATTGTCAGGGAATAATTTCGCCCTACATGTTTACCTTTTGCCCTCTGATGCAGCTGACCAACCATGATCAGCCGTTATCTCCCATAAGGAGGGGCTGCCCTAGCATTTTGTTGTTGTTACCAGTTTATGACCGGGCAACTCTCGGTGAGAGATAGTTATTGTTGTGGGACACCTGGAACACATCCTTCTCGGGGTGTAGATGACCCAGAGCCATAAGCGACAAAAATGGGATTCAGTGTCCTCAGCTGTTTAGTCTATCTATTGAAGAATGTTGATTATTACACTCTGAACTAATTAAAACCTCGAGCTACAGGAGGGTTCTTCAGAATTGATTGTGGCATCTCTACCGTGTGGCCAAACCGTGGCCCGTGACATGTCGTGTGAATTCTCCGGCCGAAGCTCCAAATAAACCGTCAGTGTTTGCCATCAAAGCTCCAGCTCTCCTCGTGTCTCTCTGAGTCCTGTTTCCCTCTGAGTCCTGTTTCCAATTGCTTCAGAAGTTTCCACCACAAGTATGTAGTAATTTACTTTAACTTATACCGCGCTTATTGTAATCCGTTTTTTTGTACTGTTCCCTGGCCAGTCAGTAACATGCAAATCTGCCAATGTACTCTAGATTGTGTAACTAAGGATGTGGTGCTTCCTACAGAGATTGAAAAGTGAATTCCCATACTTTAGATATTTATTTCATCAATTGCTTATACTGTAGGCTGCACATTATTATTCATTTTCTATTGCCAACAGTCAATATCCAGAGACCCAAAGTAGAGCACAGAGTTAAAGGGTTACAGAGAACTCCCTTTTACGAGTTGCTATATTTCAATTGCCACACTTTCCTGATGGTCATAGTGACATATCAGAATTTAATGACAGGAGACGCGGGATGACGGAGATCCATCACTGGCCAAATTATCAGTGATTTACATAGCACTAAAAATAGTTGTATAAGAGTCACTTAACACAAGAACCATTTCCTTAGTCAAGGCAGACATTTGGTGTCTGGCACATCCATCAAGACAAGCATTAGTTTTTAATTTTATAGTGCTGTCACTAATGCGTTACATGAGCTCGATTTACAGTACATTCATAATACTCACTTGGTTATGTCATATTAGGGTCATTTGAGGCATAGCAGCGTTTTAATTTATTGTTCATTTCAGAAACAAGTTTAATTGTGCTTGGAGAGGAAAAGTGAATTTAAAAAAAATCGCCAGAACAAAAACAGATAATCGTCCAACCCATGAAACACAAAAGTATGTCAAAAAACACAAAAAATTGAAATAAACTATACAATACAATAGTTAAAGAAATAACGTTGACACCAGGGTATTTTAGATAAGCAATGATAGTTATAGACAATTGTTTGGTCCATAACAACAATTCGGGATGAATACGTTTTTCAATGTTTGGGTCTTGGATTGTATCTGTGTCTTCGGCCTCATTCAGGCACCACCACCACAACTGCTTTTAATCCACTAGTAACTGATCAATTAACTGTATGATAGCCAACATATAGAACAAGTCAATATGAGTAGTTATGTGTAGACCTTTAAACAGTCATCTATGTTTAAGGTTTCAATATTAAAAGCAGTTATGTATTTATAAAATCACACTGTGAGAATTGAATACTTCTGAACATGTCATTGTGCCTTCCTCATTCCCAATCTCTTTTGCTTTGACCAGATTGGACTCCTTGCGATCTAAACTGGAACCATGGGTGGATGGATTCATCAAATCCAGGAAAGAGCTGGAGGAAATTCTTGTGAGAAAGACATTTTCTTTGGTCTTAAATCTCTGCAATAGGCGGAAATGTCTCTGACTCTATCATATCTAGAGACTGAGAGCTGATGGGTTTTTTATTACTTACTGAATATTCACTTCTGACATGGCTTTTCCTTTCACAATACATCTGCTTTTTTTTTTTAAATCTTTTGCTCATTCATTTACAGCTTTCGTTTGCCTTATTCCACCATTTCTGTTTTTCTTTTCTGGTCTTTCCATTTTATCGCATTGATCCTTTATTTTTGATTGTCAGCAGAGGGCAGTAGTGAACAAGGACGTTTCTTAGATCTACAACAGACCTGAAGACTGAGCTAGAGCGACACGGAGAGCAGAGTGAGTACAATGTTGAATATGAAAGTCAGTCAGAAAAGTTCATTTTACTGACCCGCCTGGATCTGAAATACATGAACAAGTTGTGAAATATATTCTGTGGTTATTTATGCCATCAAATAGAAGGCACTCGTTTTGGGTTATGCTTTCTATATTACTCAACATTTTTTAAATGGCATTTGTATCTGGTAATAAACCTACAACAATGTTTGAGTATCCAACAATCCTTTATTGTTTAACATTCATGTGGTATTATGCTCTATGTCATCAAGATAAACACACCTACTCCACATAACTGGAATTGTATTACATTGATCAGTGAAAGGCTTTATGGCTGCATGCAAGCAGAGCTGAGGGTTGATCAATATCACAAGATTTACTGAAGATTAAAGCTCTCATGCATGTTTGAAGATGCATGTAAATATTCCACACTTACAGTATTTAATTTAAGGCCACATTGTGGGTCTGTTGGACATTTTGAACATAATGGAAATGTTATAGGGGATATGCAAGTATAAATATGTGCAGCTTACGTTTTTGCTTATATAAAGACTGTTTTTGTTCACAATACGTTTTAATGACATCCTTAAGAATGGCACCATGTAGTCAATTGACCTTATCTCTAGGTCTTTTTAGTGTTATGAAACATTTAAGTGCCAATTGTTTGGTTGATTTTCAAGATGAGCATAATAACAAGTGTAGTCACGAGGCCGTTTCATTTCCCAAGGACAATCCCCTCTGCTACTATTTCACCATTCGATTAGCTTCTCCCTGCATCTTCTTTGCTACTTAACATTAACAGCATCAATGGATGCATTTGTCCAGACTATCGTGTGCTTTGCGACCCTTGCAGAAAAACAACATTTTGTTATGGATACACAAACAAGTCAATGAGTAGATTTCCTAGGGATAGAATTAATTTGATTATTTTAGGCACATATTATGCCGGCAGCAGAGCAATTCTTGTGATCCAATCATACAATGGTGACTTGTGGAATATGAATGGAGGGTATTGTTAGGAGGCGAGCTTGTTTTCCGATAAGGTTGTCAGAAATTATTTTAATTAGTTCCAGTAAGGGAGCTGAACATACATGATGCATTGTGGATCCACACCCCAGGAATGTCACATTTTTGTCACATGGTGGATCCGTGAAATGTATCAGTTTTGCATAAGCCTCCTTACAACAACAGACTTCACAATGTCAGGGCAGATAGATGTGGGATTGAATCGGCCCTCTATGTGCATTGAGACACACATTTTAAGTAAACAAACTGTTATTCAAAGCTGCCGAAGAGTTCTGGCCTATATCAGCTGGGAGCGTGAAATCCAGACAGATGACGTTGATGGTATCTTTAAGCATGATCTTGCACTAGTGTAAAATGTTTGTTTAGAGTTGCAGCTATGGCCTTAAGGCTTTGGGTATATGTGAAACCCTTTGAACAAGGCTGTGTGCTTTATGAAGTCGTGGGAATGTACTATGTGCTGGTGGTTCTCTTATCTTCAATTCCAAGGAAATCATATTGCACTATTGTGTATCAAAGCTATTAATATGAAGACAAGTACAAAAAAAAAAGATTTATCATACACGATATACTACAGTGAATCACGAGAATATACAGTAGTTTTTCATAATTTCCCCACCATATCAGAGGTTTCTTAGAGGTGCTAAGTAGTGATTGATTTATAGATCATTTGTAATGAACTGTTTCCACTCATAGACTCAATAC